ATTCTACGTTAAGCACTGAGCACCAGGGATGTAAGGCTATTACTTGATTTATATAGCCCCATGCTAAGGTACAGACAGCAGAGGGGCAAAAAAAGGCTACTTTTCTACTGTGCAAGTTTGAACACCTCTCCAGAATAAAATAAAAAGTGTTTTCAGCTCTAGGTAGTTGCTTTTAGCAAACACTGAGTTTCAACTTCCATTCTAGTTTTTCCACACTACGTGTTTTTTTGTGGGGACGTCTACCATAAAAACAGAAAGCAGATGAAGACTGTGGCTGACTGGCTGTGCCATTTCATTTCCCAAGTCCAGATATTTCATATGCCTTTGTGGGAAAAATATTAATTTACTTGACAGGCTTGTGATGAAGTATTTTAATGCATTTCTTTATTAGATTTTTGAGATCTCATTCATTTTCTTGGCAGTATGTTCGAAAGTGTCACAGTTTGAGCATCTAACCTGGCCTCAATTCAGATTTAGGAGCCCGTGGGAAAATCCGGTATTCATTTAATCAAACACAGAGGAACAGTGTTGGGAAACACAGGAAAAAAGACTGTACATATTCCCTGCTGACATTGCTCTAGCTCCCACATATTGACCTGGAGCTGTTTCAAGAAGACATCCCTGTCAATGCTTGCTACACAATTAAACCCTCAGAACTGCTGAATGGAGGGATCAGAATTTCATATATATTGGCAGTTCATAAGTGGTATCTGTTGCAGAAGAGCTCATATTTTATGATAGAGGCCTCTTTTAAAAATGTATTATCACACGCCATAAAAATATGCCCACCATAGAAACATACTGGGAATACAATTTCTTAAGCCCTGGAAATTTTTATTTGTTTTGACAATATGAGTAATCTCTCTGCATTGTTTTGGACAGGTACATGGACAGTAATTCCGCATGCACTACTGACAATTGTGTGTACACACGACCCAGCAGCACAAATTTGGCCTTAAACAGACACGAGCACAGAATTACATGTATGTGGGAATGGCCAGGCCTGACAACTTTCAGTTTATATTGGCTGCAGAGGACTTGAAGATCTCTAATGCCAAAGGAAACTTGAGAACCACCCCTGAGAACCAGCCATTACAATTGTGGCTACACTATCTAAACCAGCCCTCTGGATGTAATAAGTACAAAACAAAGGGTTCAGAAGAGGTTTTCTTTTAAATATGGAAGGAACAAATGAAAACTGTTTTCTCAGCAAAAGTGTGGTTAACAGTTCTAAGTTAACTGTTTATTTAGTAACTCTTTGCAGAGCTAGTGAAGCACTGATCAAAGCAGTCTGTCTCTACTGCACTGCAGGTCCTAAGTCTCCCTTTCCAAGGACTGAAATAGTGAATGACAATGAGCAGTGTATGTGCAGCTTACAACTGCCAGTAAGCAAAATAAAAGACTGTGGTGAATCATGTTCACTTTCCATCAAGAAAAATCTGCTATTGCAGAATTCAGCAACTGCAGAAGGACTTTCCCCTCTCACTCCCTCTCGCTCATCTGGCTTTGCTAAATCCTTCTAATGATTCTAGGGGTTCATCACAAAGACCCTGTACACTAGTTCAAGTTCTCAATTCTGCAAGTGGCAGTCAGAGAAAATCCTAAGGAGAAGCAAATTTTTGAGACTTTGCTGTTGAGAAAATGAGTAAAGGCTCCATAAATCAAGATTACCTTTCATTACTTATATGCCAGCTTTCTTAGTCTTATTTTAAATTCAATCTATTAGGGATCCAGAATGCTGGTTCAGAAATAGAAGGCTTTGAACCTTTTTGCATGTCAAGTATTTTAATTCTAGTTCTTTAGGAAAGGCAAGCCCTCTATCAAAGTATATACTGTAATTTTTCCATTAACTTAGTTATTATTATATGATGTGTATAAGAAGTCCGTTGTATAGTTATGCTTTTTTTTTTTAAGTGGATGAAAATAACATGGAGGTTAACTTTCCCAAGAATTCCACTCTGTGCCATTAAAAAACAGTATGTATCTTTTTCTGATAGATCACGGTTTCACAATAATGCTGGAAAATGAACAAAATAACAGACCGGGAGGCTTGAAATCATTGTTCTAACTCAGTTAACAGTGAGGGCACTGAAAACACCACTCTTGTAAGAGCATCAAATTCAACTATTTGTGTACCCAAATTCTCTATGTAAGAACTTCATTCAAAACCACTTTTGACTGAACAAGCTACAAGAGTTTCCATGTTTCATATGGAGAATACTCCTTCAATTCAGTACTTAACTTTTTTAAATGCACTTTTTCTGAAAATGACCAGATTTCATTACTTCAGTTTAATTAGTTCTATGTTTTCTTTTCCCTTCTATCAGTATTAAATACAAATTCACCTGCTGGCATTTGAGAATCACTCAGCAGTCATAACCCACCACTCTGCAATGCTGATTCACATTTTCTGTGGTGACTTCCAAGAGAACAAAATAGCAATATGTGATCAGCTCAACATTGAAAAAAAACAAAACCAAAAAAGCTTAGGTAAGAAATTTTGTACTGACCTACCCTAAGGCCTCTCTACTTCACAAAAATCATGAAGCAAATTCAACCTCATTAACAGTGCAAAGTTCTTCCTGGTTTTGTTGACTTCAGTAATTATTTCTCCAGTCCTCAGTGATTCAACTGATTCAATTCAGCATGCCACAACACTGTTCTGTACCTTCTTGCTGTTTTCTAAATGATTAACAGTTCTAACAAAAAAGCCTTTGCAAGATGTTTGTATTTGCTTATAAAAGATAAAACATCCAAGATTTTCCCCAACATCACTTGGCTACCAGTTGACACTACCATTCCCTAAACCAATATCATTATAATGTGTTCCAGCGAGGGCTGGTTTAATGGTTTCTAAACTCTAGGATATACAACTGAGAAATCCTGCTGAATAAAACCCCATGGTGACCAATTTCACGTAAGGAGCTATGGCAGCTGTTGCAAATACACTAGCTCCTTCTTGGAGATCACACTCCAATCTTCTGCTGGGTGATGTCGTGCTAGTTTCCTTCCAGAGAGCCATCTTCTTGTGAGCTAACAGCAGAGCCTACCAGCTGGGCTGCTACAAGACATAAATGTTTCTCATTTGAAAAGCAGAAACGGGACATACCAGCTTCCTGAATTTTCACAGCTGACCTTAGAAAAGTATTTTGTATATTTCTATTAAATGTCTTCAAAGTGTTTTATGAGTAATATTCCTCGTGGGTTTTAGTTATCTTCAGTATTCTATTAGGTGTTCCCAAAATCTAAAGAGATAGGATGCATCAGGAATTATGGCTGTGTTCTGACAGTCTGCAGCATGGTCTTACACTAGCAGATGAAACTCTGTATCTTCTCTGATAGATTGATCTTAAATACAAATATATATTCAGTGGGTAATCTGGACAAAAAGTGGTCCATGATACGTAAAGGCATCTTGGTAAGGGATGCCATGCCAAGAAAGAGTGAACATCATATTTTATACATTTTTAAAATTTATTTTAGTTTTCATGGAAAATTATGGATGTGTTGTTATTTAATCATCTCTTAATTTACATATGTCATTAAAATAAATCAAAACATAAGAATTCAAAATAGATCACTGTTTAGAAATGGTTACTATGTAAGGAAAAGAAATGCCTCACTTATAGCACAAAACTCTGTGGCATACACTGAAGGTTCATCTGTGGTATGCACAGATCTGTATTTGCGCACAGCAATTTACACAGTACCTGTCAGGGATCAATAGAACAATGAAGGCCTGCTGAACCACAACTGTGGACTCACCTTTGGTGATTTTAGAGACTCAGCTAGACAAAATTCATAGCTGACCCCTGACTTAATGCCAATAACAATCCAGGCTGGAACAGAAACTGGACTAGATGACTTCCAGAGGCCCCTTTCAGAGAATATTTCTATGATTCTCTGATTTCATGGTACTGTGCAAGGTTACCACATCCTTAACAAACGATTTTATGGAAAAAGTATGCCATAGTAACAAAAATCTCACAATCAAAACTGGTCTTTGACTCCAAAAATTGTGTTAAGACAACAGCAATATATTATAAAATCAACATCAACACTGACATATAAAAATAGGCCCAAAATAAATGCAATATCTTGATCCCTTGTCAAGAGATCATTTCTTCTGACCACATGTTAGATAAAGTCCAGTGAAGCAAACCTACAACTCTGTAAGCTTTTACGTCTTTTTAAAAATTTTTGTTGTAGTTTTCCCAATGATTTATACTACTATTTTTAAAGTAAATAGAATTTTGTTTGCACGTTCATTTAAAACTTTCAGTGCAATCTCACAACTGATCAAAGGTTTAAAGTGAAGGCAGTCAGCTCCTTAGAAAAATGTTATAGCACCAGAAAAGCAAGGGTTGGCCACAAGAAATCAAGTTCTAGAAATGAAGCAAAAAACCGTTCTTCTACTTACATTCATATATATTTTTCTATAATAATAAGTGACTTTTTTGATTTCAAGCTGAGGACATTACCAAAATCGGACAGCATTTTTAGACAAGGTTTAATAAACACGGTATCTTAGTTCCATCAAGGATGCAAAGGGATGCAACTGTTGCATAGTTCACCTGGTGGCCTCATGCAAGGACATTACTTCCGCCTCATACTCCATATAACCGAGGGAATCAATGCCATCCCCGCTGCGGCTCCTGGAGACCGGGGAAGGCGGAACAAGGCAGATCTTGGAGGTGTTAAGGGAGGCCGCGAGCGGGACGAGGTGCTGCAGGATCCGCGCCGGTCTTGTCACGACTGGGAGCCGCGTCCTGGGTGCCTCTGCCTGCTCGCAGAGCTGGGGGGCACCCTTGCTGGTGCCGCTGCCAGCCCCTGCCGCCCCGGAGACCCGCCCGGCACCCGGCAATCGGGGCGCCAGTACCCGGTACCCGGCCGGCCCCGGCTCCCGGGCTGCGCGCCCCGGCGGACAGGCGCGCACACAGACACACATACACGCACGGATACATACACGGACGCGCACAAAAGCACGCACAGACACTTACTTGATGTCCTCCCAGACGGCGGGGCCGTAGTTGCGGATGACGAGCAGCTCCAGGGCGTGATTGACGAAGCCGTACTGCGGGGCAGGATGAGGCGGTGGCACATGGTCAGGCATCGGGCGTTAGGGGAGCCCCTTCCCCCGCCCCGCAGCATCCCACCCCACCCTTCCCATCACCCCGGCGGGAAGCGACCCCACGGAAACATCACCCATCTCTCCCCGAAACAAAGGGCCGTGGTCTGGCTTCCCGCTTCCCAAGTGGATTCAGACCCTTCCCTCCCACCGCGGGCCCAGTGCCCGGTAGAGCGGACGCGCCCCGGCCCCAGGCAGCCCGGGGCAGCTCACCATGGTGCCGCCGCCGCCAGCAGAGGATGGGCCCGTCTGCCTCACCACCTCCCCCGGCCGCCGCCGCCCCGAGTGGCACACGCCGGCAGCCAATGGCGCGCGCGACCGCTGCCCGGGGGGCCAATGGCGGGCGCGGCCGCCTCGCACTGCTCCAATCAGAGGTGGAGGCGGGGCTTCGCGGGGCCCAGAGCCGAGCGGGGGCTGCGGGCCGGCGCCGCCCGCGGCTTGAGGGGCGGGCGCTGCCCGTGTCCGGCGCGGAGCCGCGATTGATCCCAGCGTTCGGCGGCTTCGTGCTCGTACCCATCCTGGGCGTAGTGACTGTGTGGGTACCTGTAGGGCAACACTGCTTGCCCTGGAGTCAGTTCTCTGTGCAGCGGTTGCCTTCGCAGGAATGCTTCAGTTGGTTCCTTGTATCGCTTAGCTTTTTGAAGAAAAATGTCTCCAAAAAAGGGAAGAATCTGAGCGACAAAGTCATCGCAGACATTTCTGGTCCTGTACGTTCATTTCTCAAAGGCTAGTGAAGCTAAAAGCTTAATAACGAGTGCTTTCCGTGATGGGTTTTTTTGTGTGGTTTTGAGTCCTTCTCAGGTGTCAGTGTGAATAAGCACCGAGTTGTATCATTAACCTACTGAATATCGATTCTTAGAGGGTTCTTTAAGTAAGGTATGACGCTTACAACAGAAGGTTGTGTATATGCAAGAAATTAAAAAAGATGATACAGCACCATATAGTTTAAAGCCCATTGTATGATAAAAATCCAGTATATGAAATACAAATTCTAGGGAGACCACTAATTTTTTAAAACTTGTTTAAGAAGAATCAAAACATATTAAAAATATAATTAATTTTAATCTAGGAGGATAAGGGGATGAGTCCCTAATGGACTACTAGGATAGTAGCTTTTGGGCAGAAACCTTGCTACATGAAGCCATAAACACTAGTCAGACCAGATGGATTCTAAATGTAGGTAAAATTACAAAAGTTCAGACCTTAGTAAAATACTGCATAATAAGTTTAACATTTGAACTGTTCACATAGTTCTTGAAAAAAATACGAAGCATTACATGGAAATTCCATGTAAATTAGTTTAAAAATGAAGGCATGTAAAATCTTTTGAAATTTCAACTAGTGCCTGGTGAACTTTTGAATTAAGAGCTTTTAAAAATTCTGGTAAGTGAGGACACAAATAGATAGGCATCAGAAATTTGGCAAAATCATCTCAGCAGACATTCCAAGAGCAGCAGAGGCAAACCCTATTTTTAGGTCATTAGGCATAGTCATCAATTCTACTTAACACAGTCCAAATCTACTAGGAAAACCAATTTTAGGTTTTGTAAAGGAATGACCAAGAACAAAAGCTTCAGTATAACCAGTTAAAATCATACAAGTAATATGCTAATTTTGAAGGGAAGAAGGCAAGTATTCCAAACTACTCCAAACTACTGGTTGAATATCTCTGTGTAGAAAACCAAAAAAAACCTGAAGAGATGCAAATCTCTAAAAATCTCTTGAATTTGCAGGACAACAGAGATAATGTAATAAATCATATTCTTGGAACCAGATCAAAGGCTGTGCTTTCCTGTAGCTAAAGAGGGTTGTCACCAATTAACTAAGATTTGAACATGTCAGGTCACTATCTACTTTTTACTTTTTGGTAGGAAATAAATTTTGGGAAAATGGGAAAACGTATCCTAACCTACAAATGTTGTAGTTACATCCTTGTGTGCCTACTGGTGGTAGTGAAAAGACAACACTTGGCACTTTTGCCCTCCAGTGTAGTTAGTCTTCTCCTTCAAGCACATATAAATCAGTTTTGAGGATACAAATGTCAAGGAATTCCTGGCAGCCCATCCCAGGCAGGAAACAAGTGGACTGTATTGAGAATAGGTGTAAAAAACATTTCTCATTCTTCACAGATTTCAAGGGAATCCACTTTGTACATGGGGTAAGCCGTCGTGCTCTTGAAGTATTAGAGAGACTATATGAAATTATTTTTGGTCATGACTTTCAGAAGGTAGATTTTCTGGTGATTTTGTGTACCTGAGTGACACTTTTTCGAAAATGCTGATATCTACAAGGGCCAAAATTGCATTAGATAACTATTAAATTACCTTTCTTCTGATTTTGTTCAGGCTTGGTAGGTTGCATTTGCATTATAATACAAATGGAAGTTCTAGTCAAGGTGAGATTTGTGAAATGTGGAAAGCAAACAATATGGTCAGAGTAAAAGCAAGCAGTGATTGATTTATTTTTTGAAAACGGATCTCCTTTAAAAGCTTGGAAGATACTGAATTAAAGAATTCAACCAAGTGATTTGTTGAGAAGGACAAGCCTCCATTCCAGATACCTGCTCAATCAAGACTGTCTGGAAGTTTTAGGCAAGAAGATTTGCTTTCATCTGAAGGAAAGGCTTTAAGTCAATAAGATAAAAGTCAAAAATCAAACTAAGCTGTTAATACTGAGCTGTACTTCCAAGGCCCAACTACGTCAGTATCAGAACTGTTAGGCCACATGCATTATGCACATCAAACAAACTTTTAGACTGTATGTGATGCACTTCCATAAAACCTGCAGCTGATTCCACTATAGCACACAATCCCATTTGGGGACCCTCATGCATTAGGTACATGTTATACATCTTTTAACATGTTTCTTTGTGATTTGAGATGCTGACTTCCTCTGGCAATTCTTGTTGAGATTCATGAAAGCAAAAAGTAGCATAGGATCCTTTTATGCTGTGTGAAAGGGCAGTTGCTGAGACACTAACTGGCAAAACCACTAGCTGGCCAAGAACATCTCCATTCAGCTCAATATGGTTTGTGTTAATGCACAAGCACTAGTTGCATTGTTTTACTTTGGACTTTGCTTTTACAGTTCATTTTGTTACTGAAGTCCTGAATAAAAAGACTGCTTTATATGGTATTGCTGGATTCCACTTACTGAAGATGAAGTTACTTTACTGACATGGACTGAACCATATGTATTTTCTATTTAAGGTCTGAGACCTGACATTTGGAATTGTCATAATACTTCTCAGGTGCAGAAACACCCTCTTAAGTTTACTTCAGCAAGATTCATTATTTCTACTATACCACTATACAGTGTTCTCCTATCCCATTACATTAATTTTTCAGTCCTGGTATTGACAAGTTATGATGAACCAGCCCTCAGTATTTCCATGCTGTACTGTAATGCAGTAACATGTACATTTGAGAAACTGAGAGCTCTATTTCATCTTCCTGTTAGAGGAATGTAATCTTAGCTATGCAGAGCAAACTAATCATATGTACAAAATTTCCCCAACATGATCTGCAATCAGTGGAAACACTCCTGTTCATTTTCATGTGCTTGTAGTCTAAAGCCCCTGGGAATGCCTTTGTCCTAAATACTTCTTTGACAGGTTTTGTTTGGGTGAAAAATCAGAAGAGTGGAAATCTTTCTGTATCTGAATCCACCCCTTTTCACATCCACAGGATGCTACTGGATGTATTCTCTCAGTTATTTCCCACTACGTGCTGATGTGTGTGCACGATATGTATTTGCTGCAGTGGAACAAAAATTTGTAATTTTGTACTGCTCAAAAAATGAGAAGCAATTTTAGCACAGATCTTTAAAGACCATCTTATAATGAGGCTGCAAAGCAATGTGCTCATTTACATTTATATTAGGAAACTACTGGCTTAACTTTACTTTCAGCATCAAAAGTCTGCCAAAGCAGATGAGACACACAACTTTATAAGGTTGTTTACTTCCTTTCAGATTCTTTCACATTTTATTACCTCTTTGACTGGTTTTCCAGCTTCATGTTCCACCCTAACTGCATATTTAACATTTAGATCCTACTGCTTGTGCTCTGGAGAGTATATGTCTTTAAACTGTTGCATCTGGACATAGCAAAAGTTCCAGAATCATTGATTATCTTTCTTCTTTCATTTTCAGTATCAAAGCAATGCTCAGTAACCTAAGACAGTGGCTTTTACTCTCCCTTCATGCTCTGCATAAAAGGACTGCCAGTGAACATACCCCAACAGGATTGGAAAATTTAAATTTAAAAAAAACAAACAAACCTTATATCTGATTATTTTCTTCCTATGCAGTTGTGAGCAGCTGCATCATCAGAAGTGGTTTTAGAAAGACTGTTGTGGCATACACCTTGCAGACTTTAGAGGCAGAAAAGCAAGTCCTAGCTCTCATTTCAGAAAGCTGAATTTGGTTCCTGCCAAGCTGACATGATAAACTGGAGCAGAGCTTTGAAAGCAGTTCAGTACCTTGTACACTGTATGGCAAACAGCCACAAAAACAGCATTGCTGTTGCAGGAAGCAAATCTCCCACCAGTTTTTCAGAACAATGGGCAGGCATAAAAAAAAATGTTAGCGGCTGGAGTGGCCTCTAGGTTGTAGGATGGGTGGGGTTTGGAAAAGGGTCCCCTTGCCAAGATTCAAAAGCAATTCCCTTAATTCTGGTGGCCTTTAGTTGGAAATACTGATTTTCCCCCCTGTACTATTAATTGTAGCTGTTTCTGGAGCGATTGCAAAAGGAAATTATGTGAGAAAAAAACTGGGTTTGGGGGAGGTCTGAATTCTGCCTTCACAAGTTTTCCCAGGAAGAAGTAGATCTGTCCCAGGGGCTCAATTAATCTGTGCACTTCACTGTTCTGTCAGTTTCTGTGAGTCCCTTTGCTCTGGTTTTGCACAGTAGTTCAGAGAGAAAGAAAGCATCAGTTCCACACTAATTGCACTTCCTCTGACATCAGCAATGCAAATTTTTTCCAACATCCCCCTGAAATCTTATCAGGTCATGCCTGAATGAAATAAAATTAGTTGAATTCTTTTGGTATAGCTTTTACTTTAGCTATGTCAATGTTAAGATTCAAAGGAGCCACGTCTTATTTCAAGGGCCATTTATGCTTCTTTGGCAAAGAAACTGCAGGGAGAAAAGTATATCTTCCATCAATACTCTAAGTGTGAAAAGGAATCAGCCACACAGAATCTTCATGAACTAATAAAATAAAATTTCACACATAACAAAACTATTTCTGGACACAATACTAAGGTATTTTTATATTTATATGAATAACATTGCATAGTCTCTGAAAATTTCCACAATATCATACACTATACTACAGAAGAGATTAACTTAAAAACAACTCTTATTTTCTTCCAAAATGTCCCAGCATTGTATCAGTTAAATTCCCTTCCTCTGTTTATGGCAACAATTTGCTTATTAACTTTCTGATTCCTTTTTTTCAATTTATGTGAATGATGAGTTAAAAGGTGAAAGGAATATTTTAGATCTAAGTGAAAATATAAATTAAAATATTTATCTCTTATTAAATATATATTTATTCAGCAAAATAATTTAAACAGAGGAACAGCTTCAGTGAGACCTAAATTCTTAAATTAAGTTTAAAGTTAAATGGACTTACAGGGGTTTTTGTAGAACAGGTCCAAACACAAGTACATTTTAAAACACTTCCATGAATCATTGTCGTAAATATGTGTCTAAATCCTATTTACTTCACTAAGACTCAAGCATGTTGCTTTCTGTGTACATTAAAGCACCTTATCAGAATTCTTCCTGGAAGGTTGTCACCACTAGGGAGGGTATCAAGAACTGCTATGAATAACATCCTATCTAATGACAGATTTATATGATATTTGGCTTTGAGAATGGCCATCACCCAGTCCAGCAATAGTTGTCTTCTAGGGACAAAAGGAAATTCACTCCTAAATGTACTTCCCATTTGGTAGATTTGCCTATTTGGTAGATCTGAGAAAGAAAATCCTTTTTATTTAAAAGCCTATTTATTTATTAACAGGGATGGATAGAGTCATACTGACCTCAGTCATTTCTGGTTTAATAACATAAGCCTACTGAACTGTGACGAGTCAAATACTCCCCCATTTTTATATCCAGGGGTGCCCACATGGGACTGCTAGTAACCTCGGTACTTCTCTCAATAGAATTGTCTGACCAATATAATATTGGAAAGATCAGTCTCCAAGATTTGGATAGTTCTTGTTTCCTTGAAACACTGCAGTCTAAAGTGTTACAAATATATGTGCTTGTATATATATGTGTATATATGTGTGCGTATATATATATATATATCTGGTGTGTGCAAGACAGATGTGTATTTTTTTTTTTATAATACACAGACTTTCTGGTTCCATTTTTGTGCCAGAGAACAATTTCTAAGCATCTCTGATGGACACAGTAGACCCCAAGAAGGATTCAATAGTTCAAGTTTTGCTCCTTACAGAAATCTGAATTAAAATATGGCTTTAAGCTGTTCTTAATTCTAGTATCTTCTAAGATCTTTTCTCAAGATGCTGATGGTACATGTTTGAGTTTCTACCAGAAACTAGTAGGATAAAATAGTTTATTGAGCTTCAGAATGTACCATTGAGCTTCAGAATGTAAGATCAGAAAATGAATAGCACCTTAGTCTAATGTAATTGCTCCCTGTAAATATTAAGAGAGCAAAATGTGATTTAGTAGCAAGTGGTTTGAAGAGACTTTTATGGCTTGATATGCCAAATCCCAGGAGCTGAAGAGGCTAGAATAATAACTAATAATACCTGGTACTACTGGGAGTAGTATTAAGTGTATAAGCTGTGCAGTTCTCCAGCCTGCAGTTGGGATCAAACTGTATAGCACAGAGGAATTTCTGGGCAGATGGATCTGCTAGTTAAGAGAGGCAGAATTCTAACTCTTAATTAACTCTATTCTGCCATTTCCAGAGGCAAAGCCTTTGAATTCTCCACTCATATTCCATCAGCTACAACAGAAAAGTTTGTACGGTGGTAGTATTATCTTTGTAAATATGTTCATGTGTTTAAAAGCATCTCTGTTCACCTGAAAATTCCTCTGGGAACTTTAGAACGAGCATACAATGGGCATTTCCATAGCTCATCACATCCACGTTGCATCCTGGAATAAGACGTTTAAACTGGTCCTTCCATTTCAAACAGTCTGACTGGAATTTCATTTCTAAGCAAACATTTCAAAGCATATTTTATTACACTTCTGTTAAAACATTTCAAATTTAAATGACAACAAAAAAATACATTTATTGCTGTAATACATAATAACAAGTGGATATTACTATTTTTAAGTACTTTTATAGCCCTATGAACTAAAATATTTTGATGATTACAGAGATGTTAGTATGTGATTATACAGTGTTTTAATTTATATTCATTTTATATACAAAATAAAGTTCATGAAATAGTAAGCAGCAACTCTGCTATGCATGTGTTTAGCTACAATTAGCAGCCTGATCCAGAAAATGCTGACCACCTTCATACTTTGACCAGTCAGTGTGAGAAGATGGTCAGCAGCCTTCTAGGATGGGGCCCAAACAATGGACTGGAAGGAGTATGTGATGGCAATGACAATATTTTAATGGACATTTTCTTTTGAAATCTCTAAGAAAGAACATTTCCATAGTCATTGATAAGCACCAGCTCACAACACTGCATGTGGCTGCATCACTTGCACATCACATTTCCTGACACACTGCATATACAATACATCTAGAATTCTCAATATAGAGAGAACTGTAGCACTTACAAATTACCATAGGGAAAATACAGTTTATAGTAGCATTTCCAACAGTGACATTACAACACTACTTTTGCGACTATGTTCCTTATGCAGAGGAAAAATAAAAAGTAGTCAGTGACATACTTCCTGAAATTTTAATACTGGCTTTCAGGTGTTAACAATCTAAAGTGCTTTCAGGTTTCATACAGTTTTAAAAATTTTCAATTTATTAAAAAAAAAAATCCAAGTATTTATAAATTTATTCTATACATTTGTGAATGTACAATTTAGTCTATTCCTGTTTCCTCACCAAAAAAATTGGCATTGCCATCTCCCAAATCTCTCTTTTGAAACCAAGTCTGTGAGCTTGTTCCTTGAATATAAGCATCCAGAAAATAGCAAATTCCAGGGATATCACGTGGAAAATTTGGAGGAAGCTCCTCTCTTGAGCGTGGTGTGAACACAAAACCTGGATATTCCTTTAACAACCTAGAACAAAAATGAATCATCTTGATTAAAAATCAATCAGTCACTAATAAGTGCAGATATTCAATAATTCTTCGTGTATGGCAGGGAAAATCCAATTTAATTTTTATAGCTATTTACTGGAAATATAAAAAATCATGTTTACTTGGTAACCTTGATAACCTATTAACTTGTGCATCAGTGCAAGTAACAGTATTGCCTCTTTGTCTTGTCAATGTTGTAAATATTCTTGTATATGTTTGTTTGTATATGTTTGTTGTAAATTTTTTCAAAAATTATTTGGTGTTGAAAGGTAGCTCACATCCACACATTCAAAGAATGGAATATTGCGAACCTTATTAATTAAACTATTCAGACTCTTTTACCAATTCTAATATTATTTGCTTTTTCACAGATTGAAACAGAGAACTGCTAATCTGTAGGGATAAATGTTGATAACTTGTACCGAAGCTTTCAGACAATTACTGCAATATACAGGAGTTATGCAAGCTGCCATACTGTTATCAAGGTGTTTTTAGAATTGGTGAATTAATCAAAATTTAAAAAACACCGAATAAAAAGGAGGTTAACACCGTGTTCACTCAGAAAAAAAAAAAAAAGAAACTCCACAATGACAACAGTTTACCCATTAATCAAACTGCCTATTTTCTAGGGGTATGATTCAAAATGATTTTCCATGAGTGGAACGGAAAAACAATCACTGTTGGCCAGCACTGCTTATGTTGACATACATAAGCACTGGTGATGCTAATGTTCTCTCTGTGTTTTCAGAGTGCATGATCAAAAGGGTTACTTTCTCTGTGCTTTAATACCTGTGCTACTTTTTCTAAATCACCTATCCAAGATCATCTAGAACTTAGCACCCTCTATGTCACATAAAAAATGGTGCAGGGGATGTCAGGAAGGATCCTGTGCCAAATTCTCTGTCTGATGTTGAATGCAGAATCTTGCCACAAGGCATTATCAGATATGTGGCAGTGGGTACAAGCTGAATAGGAACAACAGACTACAGTCTAGGCTATAGTGAGGGCGGCAGAGCTTATTTAAAAGTTAAAAAATCATTTATAATTTTGTTTATTTTAACTAGCCAAAAAAACCCCCAGGAAGATAATAGACTACTACAGTAACTATTGCAGGTGGACATTTTACATACTGCACTGTACCTGTAGGTTGTTGGGCTGACATTTATTTTTCTAGGTATACTGCAAGATTCAAACTTATTGGCAAGGGTTACATTATTTCCAAAAAGGCAATAACGAGGCATTTTAACCCCAACAACTCCAGCAAAGACAGATCCAGAATGAAGGCCAATACGCATCTTTGAACAAAAGAAAGAAAACAGCATTATTAGGTAAAAGAGAATTGGTAAAGTCAATTTTATAAATTATTCTTCATTAAAAAAAAAAAAACCAAAAGAAAGACTGAACTACTAAAATAAACAGGGTTAGCAGAGTCTTCTTAAAATATCTGTACTCTGGTCATTACTGCTCATGGAGAGGGAACTAGCTGAAGTTTATCTTGCACAGCATTTTTAGTCAGTAATACTACCATATCAAAATATGACTGTGAACTGCTGTGAACTTAGTTCATACTCAGATTTTTGACTCTTACTTAGCTGCTGCTGCTTTCAATGGTTCTTTTTGGTGGGGTTTTTTTTGAGTTGTGTTCTTTTTTTCATGTGCATTATACATGTGTAGAGGTGTTTTCTTCAGAACAGCATTTTGACTAAATAATGGCATGTCAGAAAGCTTGTATGTCTACTCTGTGTACTTTTTACATATCAAGACAGTATCATACCATTATGAAGAAGTTGCAGTTTCTAACTTTGACTGCAAAAGCAGAAAAACCTGCAACAAAACCAAAATCCACCCACATAGTAAAGATGGCTGAAATACATTCATCAAAATGTAAGTCTGATTCAAAGTATGCCACGGTCACATCTTTTTTTCTTGATATGTAAAAAATATTTGATATGTAAAATGACAGTAGATTGTGTGACAAATTTATTGCTTTGCACAATACCCAATGTTTTCATGAAGCATTTAATTTAAACAGATGCATGCTTTCATTAAAAATAGTTTCCTTCTAAGAAGTTTCTGTTAGGTACTTACACAATACAACATTTTTCTCCTTATTTTAAAATATTTTTTTAAATGTAGTAGTAGTGTTTGCATGTAAATTATAAACTTGTTATAATATTGCCAGGATGTTTCAAAAATTTTTACGTGTAACTTAATTTGATACTGCAAAATACTAAAAGAAGAACATTTATTTATAATATAATACTGCTGTTCTCTGATAAATGTGTAGCATATAATCCTCTTAATAACCATTTTCTTTGTCTTGGAATACAAGTATTCCTTAATCTAAAATTAAAAAAGGAAAAAAAAAGCATTAAGCTTTCTGGAGGAACAAATGAACAGATAAATGTTACAATTTAGCAAATGAAAGACATAATGAACTGAGGAACCTCTATTAAAAATACCAGGATGCCATTCCAGGCCGTTTGAACTACATTGAAGGTCCACATAATTTTTCTTTTTCTCTCTTAGTAAGAGATCATATATGAAATTATACAGGATATATATACAGGATAATCCTATATGAAAATTTCAGTACATGTGTAAGTTCTCACTGAAAGGAAGCCATAAATATAATTACCACTGAATTTAACAGTTGCTTTGACAGCATTAACACCATTATCTTACATTATCTTACAGTGGTTCAGTATCTGACTGTGAAACAAGAACAGCAATGGAATCCTTTAAAGATGTGTGGATTACTACAATCAGAACGTCTTGGGGCATTCATATTCATAGCTTCTGCGTCAAAAGACTTGGAAGTCTAATTTGGAAAGAGGATTAGTCATTTCCTTAGAAAAGAGAATATTCCATGCAACTGACAGTTTTATTGCTGAGATAAGAACTGCAGCATGCCAGATTGCACCTATTGACTTCACTGCATTTCTCTTTTGGGTTGATTTTAAGATCTCTATTTCACCTTTACCACTCCACAAAACTCTCATCCATAGATCTAAAGAGGTCAGCTTCTCCAGCCACAGTCACTTGATTCCCCAAATTCTCTAAGTTAATGATGTGAAATTTCCTTGAGAAAAAATCCCAGAAAGGAACAAAACAAACAAAAAAGCTCACTTTAACCAAATAAAATACAATAAAATATATGACCTTGATGGGCTCTCCATGGGGAGACACCACCTCGTCGGACAGTTCCATCATCTTCAGGGCCATCAGTGCTATTTGAACAGCATGTGTTTCACTTTCTTTGTGTAAGCCTCCAGCAACACAGTAGGCATCTCCAATAGTCTCAACCTAAAACAGGCATATTTGTTTCTTACTCTTAGACTATTTGATAAATATAAAAGAACAGCCTACCTTCAGTAAGAATTGTAGCTACATACAATTTTTGACCAAGTCTTAGTTTTCCTGCAAAATTATTTAACTACTAGACAAATCCTGTAGTATCATGCAAAAGCTTTTATTTATTGCTGGGCATAATTCTAAAATACTTTTCCTTTTTCATTTATTGTCAGGCACCCCTGGCTACATTAAACACCTGTTTACTCCAGAGTCACAGGACTATAACTGAAATTAATTTTTAAAATTAACTCTTAAGTTTTAATAGGTTTCTTTCTTGGCTGAATGAATAACTGTTTATGTTGACTTTTTGTTTGTTTGTTTCGTGATTTATTTTTGTCTTTCATGTGAAAATGGTTTATGGCAAAATTATTTTTAGACCTCTATTATCTTCTGTCTCACTTAGTCTTAATTTCCGTTCCTTCCCCAGAATCTCACAGAAAAGCAATTAATTGTTTACCTTGTAGACATCTAGCTCTCCACATTGGTAATCAAAGCGAGTATAAAGCTCATTAAGCATGGTGATAACCTGCATAGGTGAGCATTGGGAACAGATGGCAGTAAATCCAACAATGTCAGAAAAAAGCATTGTGACATTATTAAATTTCTTGGCTTGTACAACTTGTCCCTGCCACAGCTGCTGAGCAACCTCTCCAGGAAAAATTGAAAACAGAAGATCTACAGTCTTCTTCTTCTCTTCTTCAAGTGCTTGATGGGCCTGCTCAAGGGTTGCTTTTAGCTTTCCTAATCTCTTCTTCAGTCCATCCTGGGCTCTGGCCTGCTCTCCTATCAGAACAACATCTCTTAAAGCATTGTGAATGGGAATATCAGAGAGGTATAATCCACGTCCTGTAAAATCTTCTAGTCTGTCCACACAGGGAGATCCCAAGAATAGAATGGCACTGGATTCAAAAATATAGATCATTTGGCCTTTAAGATCCATTACCTGAAACAGTTAACGAAAAAAGAATTCATGCAAAACATGCATGGCAATGGTCTAGAAGCAAGAAGTTTTGCAGAAAATACATTTTGCTAAAATGTAAGAAAATCAAGATCATTTTCATTTAGTTGCTTAGAGAAAACATGGGGTGCTGAATCACAGTAAGTTAATTTTTCTTTGGTCCTCTGGCACAAGAGGTCTTGTACTCCCCAACTTAAGGATAAACATTTAATTATGTTTGAGTATCAGTTTATCTTAGGAAGAAAAAACCCCCAAAATAATAATTTTGTATATTTTCAGCAATTGATAAAATGTGTTACTACAGTGATCTCTGAATTTCTACTAATAACCAGTTCATGCACCACTTTCTCCATAAGATAAAGTGAGAAAATCTTCTTCAGTTTTATCATAGGATGTTCAGTACTCACTGCAATTTAAAAATAAAGGCAGAAATGGCAGGAATATCCAATTCTAATAGTCTAAAGAAGAACAATATTTTGCGTGAAGTGTTTTTATGTCCCTTCTGTAGTCATTGTGTAATGTGAAAGGTGTGGCAGAGCTTAGATTAACACAGCTTTGAAAGACTACTTTTTAAATAAAATCGGTTCCTTACTAATAGACATTTGCATATGCAACTACATGCAAAATCAAAGCCGACTCTACTACCCTTTTAACCATTCTAGTGCAGAAACGGATCTAAGATGAAGTAGCTACAGCTTTTAATAGTAGCTACATTAGTAACTGGGTACAACTTTTTTACCGTTCTTCATTTATGTTTTAGGAGTGTTGAGTCTGAACTGGTAAATCATCCTCGAGTGCCTAAGGTGTATATTAGCTGGAATTCAGCTGGGACCAGGAACAAATGAAAACAGTCATTGAATATTTAATGTTTTTACTGTCCCAGGTAATTTGTCACAGACCCACCTTCAGCAAAGACAGCTGTAATCCCATCAGCTGAAACTAAGTGGAACCTTTGGTGGTTGCATCTGATAAAAACATAAGAGAACCAAAGATACCAAAACACCAAAGGCTGAATGATCACAGAAAATATCTGTTTATTTTCCTCAAACCTAGAGCTGTTCCCAAATGACTCAAGGGCACTTTGTTAAAAGCTTTTCCTGCCACTGTCTTTGTGCTGAAGATGCCCTTATTCTCATCAGCATGGCATATCACTGGCTTTATCTCAGTATTTCAAATTATTAAAATTAGCAGTCAGATTTTACTTGTGTAGAAGTCCTAAAACAGAGTTTTGACTGAACATCAGCTTCAGAATCTGAATTACATTTGACTACCCTAATTAAATCATTATTATACAGTTGTATCAGATGTTCAGATGTAGAAAATGCAAAATGCACCATGTTTTGCGGCTATTTTAACTCCATCTGAAGAAAACAAATTCCTCATAGAAGTAATAGTGATACAAAGCCTCTTACCATGGACGGTTTCATATCAGTATTATCCCATCTTCTAACTCGTACAGTAAACTGCATATTTAACATTGTCATTATTCCACTAAAAGTGCAGCTTACTTTGGGGGTAAGAATTTCAAAATACTCTTCAAAACTGGGCTTAGCTTGAAATTCTCTCCTTGTCAAAAGTCTTCTTATCCCATTTCCAATTTGAAGAACTGACATATCCTTGTCAAACATAAAATGAAATGGGAAAGTCTTACAGAACACAGAGGCAGGAATCACAAGTGAGGACTGTGGTTTACATGGAGATAAGGAAGGTTTTGCACTTTTGACTTGTATAGAATACAGTAAATAAGGCTGATTAGCAAACTCAGTGCAGTCATTAGGGAAACAAGGAGGCATGAGCATCACTTCAACCTCAGTTTCATACAAAATGTGAGCTGCTGCTTTAATGATACCAGGTAGAATAAGACTTGTGATTTTCTTAGGAAAGAAATAATAAACGTTTAAGAAGTCCTGATCTTTCTCCAGGCATAATATGGAGGCATCTTCAAGTCTGTCTTTTTTTCCTGCTTCTTGGCTATGGCCACTCTGTTTCAGCAGAGTAGTGAAACTATTCAAGAAGTCCTTAAGAGTGCCACCAATAACCCCCAATATGTGTTCATCCTCTTCATAGCATATTTTGAATAGCTCTTCACCAAGAGACTCCCGTAGAGACTCCACGGGAACACCTGCACAGAACCACATTTTAGTCAGAACTGCACTCATCCTGAATCACAGGCTAACCCTCACATGTTTTTCAACCTAGGCCAAAACAAACTATCAGTATCTTTCCCTGATGCAGCATTGACAACTGAGGGCACTCTCATTTAGGAGTCCTGGAAACAAGGCTACAAAGGAGTAAAATAAGAAGTTTAACATAAGAATAAAATAGGATCTGTAGATATAAATGCTATGTGTAATCCGGTACATTAAATGACCTTGGGAATATTCTGGAACACTGAGGCCAATTGGCACTGAATGGCTCACATCTTTGCTAGCAATTTTTTTTTCCCAGATAGCTGCATGCAAACTAACTGTTGGGTATGTTCCATTTTCCCAAGTGTTACTGGGAATCCTTTGAAAAAGTATTGTCTCTCAGAGTCCAACTGTGTGCCTGGACCAGTTTAACAGTTTAAGTGTACAGAAGACCACATTTCAGTTCCAGGAAATGTTTATTCACTATCACAGATGTAGCCAGAATTATATATTATAAATTATAAGAGTTCTCTTCTGACATACGACAGTCTTTAGAATATGAAGTAACATATTAGTAACAAGACTAATTTATATTTTATATATATATATAAATATATATATACATTAAAAATACTCTATTTATTTTTATATATATATATATATAATTAAACAAGTTTACATTACCTGCTGCATTAGCATGATCACTGATTATTTTTTCAAAATCTTCTCTATCACCAGTTTTTCTGCAAAGATCATAAAAATATAAATAAACCCCCTAAATTATCAAGATATACTTGGTAAAAATAGTAAATACAGAAGTTGCCTACCTTGTCTTGAAAGTGTTTAGACCCAGTTCTGCTGATCAAATAGGAAGTTTTTAATTAATTCAAAAGGGGGTCTTGGTAGGCTCTTAGATTATCCCATGAATTTCTGGTAAATGAAAGTTTTGGTGGTCTGAGCTCAAATTATGGATTTCGGTCAAATGCTATGGCCTGTCATTGTTAACAGTCCTGTTTTTTTTTCTTGAAGCCAAAACAACATTTCCTAACATACTGTATAATATAATTGGAATTTATATTCAAGCATTTCTTGGAATTACACTGCATTTAATTCAAGACGTGAGAATGTATTTCTGTTTTGAGAGAGTTCTCTGAGGACAATACATGTCAAACTGAATGTTTAACTCAAAGTTATGAGAACAACATATAGCTTAGATGAACCTTCATATAAGCAATAAACTTCTGATACATGACTTCTGAATTTCTTCACTTGGAAGATCATAGGTATATTTATATGCAAAAGCAATACAGACATTTGGATTTGTTTTACATTTGCATTATTGCCTCCTTCAGAATATCACAGTAATTTTCTCTTTTCAACTAATACTCCAGGGAAGCAACACATAATTAAAGAATGGGAAAACATTCATAGCAATAAGCCAATCAGCAATTGCAAAGCACATCTGATCCGCTATCTTTGGTTCAGTCAATGTATGTGAAGTGCTTTAAAAATATCAAGTATAACTTAAAAGATACACTGCAATTATCTATTCTTATCATGGTGAGCAACAGTGTAGTTTCCAACTTGATTATTTTTCTTCACTTCAGAATGCAGATTTAAACTGATGGGCTTATTTGGCTTATTTTTTCAGATGCATTCAATAAACTGAATCCTCAGGGTATCATGAGATGCTAATAAATTCTTACTCCCAACAAGGCCCGAATGATTAATATTGGATTTGTACTAAGAAGTCCTGAAAATTGAGCTGAATTCCTCAGAAACAGAAACCAGAAGCCAAGTGAGCTCAGGAAAACATTCAAGTCAGTATCTGTAGTGTACGAATGTTCACTGTATCAGAAACCAAATTCTTTTGTGTAATACTAACAGAATTTAAAACTCTTTCCCTAGGATCTTATATCCATATACAACCACATCTATTGTTCCATCTATACCAAGCAGTCTCTGAACTCCTCCAAAATCCTTTTTCCCTGTACAATTTGCCCATTAAGTCAACTTTGTGAGTGATGTAAATATTTATGAATATTTACTAATATAAACTAAACTGAATATAAACTAAACCATTACTAGCTTACATTACATGAAATGTTACACACCAATTTGACAAGATATTTGAATATAAATTCCAGAAGTCTTGATTTGCGGTCACCACCCCATTCCTGCCTGAAAAACATTTTTGCAGTGAAGTTAGTTATAAACCCATTACACTTACATACCTGGTTTCTTTTATTCTGTGTTTCGCAAGTGTTCTCTGCAGGGCAAGATTTAGCCTTTCAAACTGGGGAAAAAAATAAGTATGTCATATGTATCTATGTCATTGCTGAAAATTTAATAATGAGATAACATTTCTATGCACAGAATTACTTCGCCATCCTTGGGACTAACAACTTTTTTTCAAGACAATATTGTTGTTAGAAACAGCACGTCACTTCTGTGGTTATGGAGTTTACTTTATGTTCGTCTCTTCAGCTCCAGTACCACTATAATTAAGCCCCTCAGTTCATGTGCACTAGCGGTTGTGTATTTTAAATAAAGTAATGCTCTTTACCTCTAAGTTTTCAGGTGGCAATAAAGACAGCACTGTTAAGAAATAATTATAACTAACACAGCTTTCTATTATTACAAATCCCACCCCCCAAAATACCACTAAGTACCATGAATACAAAATTAAAGAAAAAGAATAATTTTCGCTGTGTATGCCACAACCCCAAACATCCTACAGATGAAAATCTAGTCACTGTAGACCAGCTTTCTAAAAGGATTCTCTAATAAAAGACACTTTAGAGCATAATGAATATTTGCCTTAAAATACTTCAATCCCATGATTCTATATCCCCTCTGCAGTTCCTAATTGGAGCATATGGAACATCTTCCAAATATGCATATTTCAAATTGTTCTCATTCCCTGAAGAAACCAGCAGCTTACTGCACCTTTTACTTTTTGTAATACCATGAGGAAAGTTTGCACAATCAAAAAGAGTATCATGTGAAAGAAAGGCAATTATCTTCTGGAAATATTTTCCAAGGAAAAATCTAAAGTGAATTAGATACACATCTATGTATATACCATATACTATATGCCATGTAAATGAACACAACATAAATTACATCTGTGTAGAAACTGATACAGTAAGTGGAATGCCATCCAATCCATTACTTATAAATAAGCAATGTTTTCCGTATTTCTAAAGAAAGAACCAAATTAAACAACATGCACTACATTATATCTCAAATTTAATCAAAAAGTTGTCAGATGCACTTTGTCCTGGACTTCCATGAATAGCTCGCTCTTTCCATGAGAAGTTGACAACTCAATAGGGCCCATGATGCCACCTTGTTTTGGAGCTTCCAGTTGGAATGATGATGATGACACTCAACAACATTTAAGTTAGATAAATTACCTAAGCAATGAAAAATATGCTTCTAAAGAAGCAAAGTCTTTTTATGAAAAATAGGATTAGGAAGATGCTTAGGGCTTGACCCCAAATCAGCATGACAACAGACTTGGACACTGTTGTAAAGAATATGACTTGAATAATTGTAAATAGTAACAACGATAACCTTGAATTTCAATGGTTCCTAGGGTATACAGTCAGAGTATCTTCACTTTGCCAAGCTTTGTGCCAGCTGATGAACCAGTCTATCATAATTATGTAATAGGCAACTGCATAAATTTATGTCACTCTTTAAAGAGAAAAAAATACTAGTTATTAAAAATCCTACCAACAACTATATACAAGAAAAGCAATACAGCAATCATGACACCCTGGAAATGATACTTTGCTTTTGGGTTACAAGCCTTTTCCTTTATGAATTTAGAGATCAGTTTAAAGGGATGCATTCTGTCTGTATAAATGCAGCAGAGGTAAAAAGGATTTTTTCAAAACTTAATTATCTAGAGGTTTAGTGAATGGGTAAGAGATGAAGAGCTACATAACCAGATTTGCAAACAGATTTAACACAACTCCAGCACTTTAAGTAAGGTACACTGAATGTCCAAGTAATGGAATTGTAATTAAATGAGTGTACAGAACTGTCCATCTGCTGTTTATAGTCCCGATATATCAGTCAGTTCCTTCAAACTTCCCACTGAATTTGAAACAAGGTAGAGAGTTGGATGTTATGGAGCAGCATTTTTCATGTTCTTTTTACAGAGATAAACCAAGTATTCATCTCCATTCAAGCAAGCCTGCACTGGGCCTATTTTCAGTTAAGTTGAGCAGAGATATAAGAATATCTTTGGTAAACACAAACAGTAATGGTTTTAAAAATAGTATGACAGGAGGTTAGTATCACAGCAGATGGAAACATCTATTTTAAGTTTTTTTGTGATAATGAGTAATGTACTAAGCAGTTTGGATTCAGTTAAGTGAACTGATGAGATGACCACATAATTTACATAATTAGGTAACAAGGCAAAATTTCTATTACTATATCTCTATATAAAAAATGGTACAAAAATAGATGGATTTTAATAGAACAATTAGAAAGATCAGTGGAAGGTTGCAAATACAAGGCAAAAATAAGGGAAATACAGTGGAAGGAATGGTGTGTACAACACAAATTGTGGCAAAATTATATCCAGAAGGAATGGAAGTGGATTTAAACCACAGAGAACTACATAAGAACACAAACTTTTAAGTCAAAGCAACTTTCTAAAGGCTTACATCTAAACACAGGCATAGAATGATTTTTTAACATTTATAGTTAAATGCTATTAAAGTGTTATTATTATTTAATATCTGTTTACCTCAGGAAAGATTAGTTTGCAGATGCTTTCAGTTAGTGTGTGCAGGTACACTCTACTTCTGCTCGTTTTCCTTTGTGGAAGGTTTCCTTGACCATCTTTTTCATGGACTTCTTTGCAGATGGGCAAAGCTGCTCTAGAGCTGTTTTCTGTGCAGTCCTTGTCATGTTCCTCAGTAATGTGACCTTGAGTCAGTAAGGAAAAAGGACATTCTCCTGTGATCTTCAAGTCTTTCAGTTTTGTACAGAACATACTGTACAAAGTCTCTCTCTTGAGATTAGGAATACTTAGCTCTGCGTTTAATAGTTCTCTTCTGTTTACTAACAAGAGCAGAAGATTCCAGAATAATAAGTTGATAAGGCAACCGCTGTGGAAGGTTATTGGTAGCTATAAATCACCACAGGAAAAAATCTGTGCCCCTACGAAACAATAAAGAAAAAAAGAATTACAAACATTTATTTTCTCTTTTAAATTCCCATGATATGCCAGTTTTCTCTTAAGTACATTAAAATAATGGCTTTTTGAGGGCTTAGCTCAGGAAAGCACTTACTCCCGTCCCATTTCAAGCATGTAATACTTACTGACTTCAGTGCTTCAGGTCCCTCAAGTTGTGTGCATGGTTACATTTTGTATGAGTTGGGACTCAAGTGATTAAGGTAGAGGACTTGTCTTACCTTATGGTCACATAGATGGATGAGTTTCTAAAAGAGTGGAATTCTAATGAAGAAACCTTTGTTTCTTCTTTGATTCTTTGTAAGTAGCTATAAAAAACTATCTTATATGGGACAATGAAACAGATTAGTTATGAATACTTATATCTAAATTTACTTGATGTCCAAGGTATCCTTCATGTAATAGAGAAATATCTGACTTAAGTTAGTGTATGTACTTCTTAAACAGTAAACCATCCAAGACCAAAGGTTAGAGTCTCTTGTAAAAACAACTGACTGGTGACAACTCACATCTTGGGAATTTGACCACACAACTGCAGTTGCTTGGAAACACTAAGGGATTTTTATGCTTTTGAAGGTGGTATTTTCCAAACAATACTTTAAAAAAAAGGCTGCACTTTTAATTTTAATAATGGTTCCATTTGTTCCATTTGGGCCAAAGCCCAGCTAGAACTTAATCTGACTACTGCTGTAAAACACAAAAATGTTTTTACAAATACATCAGCAACAAAAAGAGGGCTAAGGAGAATCTCCATCATTTACTGGATGCATGAGGAAACATCAAGGACGAGCAAAAGGCCGAGGTACTTGGGTGCCTTCTTTGCCTCAGTCTTTAATAGTGAGAACAGTTGCTCTCAGGATACCAAGGCCCTGTGGTTGAATACAGAGACTGAGAGCAGAATTATGCTCCCATAAACCAGGAGAAAATGGTTAGTGATCAGCTATACAACTTAAGATACACAAGTCCATGGGGCCAGATGGGATCCACCCAAGGGTCTAAAGGGAACTGGCAGAAGAGCTCACCAAATCATCTTCCATTATTTACCAGCAGTCTTGGCTAATTGGGGTGGTCCCAGTTGACAGGAGGTTAGTTAAGATGACATCCATCCACAAGAAGTTAGAGGGAGGATATGACCTGACAGTCTGACTTCAGTCAGCCAGAGGAGGTCATGGAGCAGATCATCCTAAGTGCCATCACACAACACATGCAGAACAACCAAAGGATCAGGCATAGCCAGCATGGGTTTAGGAAAGGCAGGTCCTGCCTGACAAGTTTCGCCTCCTTCTATGACAAGGTGACCTGCTTAGTGATGAAGGAAAAATAAAGTCTACCCAGACTCAAATAAAGCCTTTGACACCATTTCCCACTACATTCTGGAGAAACTGGCTGCTCACGGTTTTCACAAGCATACCCTTCACGAAGCAAAGAACTGACTGGATGACAAAGCCCAGAGAGTGTTGATGAATGGAGTTATATCCAGTTGGCAGACTGTCACTAGTGGGGTTCCCCAGGACTCGGTACTGGAGCCACATCTGGTTAATATTTTTATCAATAACCTGAACAAGAGGATTGAGTGCACCCTCAGGCAGTTTGCAGGGAGCACAAAGCTGGGTGGGAATGTTGATCTGCTGCAGAGGGACCTGGACAGGATAAATCTATGTACTGAGGCCAATCACATGAGGTTCAACAAGACCAAGTGATTGTTCTTGCCCTTGGGACACAACAGCCCCATGCAGTGCTACAGGCAGAGGGAGAGTGACTGGAAAATTGCCTGACAGAAAAGGACCAGACGCTGGGGGTGCTGGTCAACAGAAGCTAAACATGAGCCAGCATGTGCCCATGTGGCCAAGAAGGCCAATGGCATCCTGGCCTGGACCAGCAGTAGTGTGGCCAGTAGGACCAGGGCAGGGATTGTCCCTCTGTACTGAGCTCTAGTGAGATCACACCTTGAACCCTGCGTCCAGATCTGGGCCCCTCACTACAAGAAGGACATCGAGGTGCTGGAGCATGTCCAGAGAAGGGCAACGGAGCTGGTGAAGGGCCTGGGGTATAAGTTTTATGTGAAGCAGCTGGGGAAGCTAGGTGTGTTTAGCCTGAAGAAAATGAGGCTCAGCTAAGACCCTACTGCTTCTAAATGGAGGCTGTAGCAAGGTGAGGGTCTTCTCTTAGGCAACAAGTGTAAAAATGAAAAGAACCAGCCTCCAGTTTAACAAGGGAGGTTTTGACTGGATATTAAGAAACATTTCTTCAAATAAAGGGTGCTCAAAAATTGGAACAGGCTGCGCAGGGAAGCAGTCGAATCATCATCCTTGGAGGTATTTAAAAGATGTGCAGATGTGGCACTCAGGGACATGGTTTAGAGAAGATGATTTATTTCAGTTAGACTGAAAAAGGCTCTTTCTTTCGTTTTCTATTGACTGTATCTCATTGAATCAGATCCTCTCATCCTCATATAATACTTTTTTAAAAAAACTCTCAAGAGCTTCTGACGACTCTGGAAGCAGCTAAGTATTACATTTTTCTCTCTGGAGATACAACAACTACTTCTTTCTAAGGCACTACTTTAATACACCCCTGTACCACACCATTTTTTTCTGCCCCTGATATCCTCTAAGGGCGTTTGGGGTCACACAGCAACTGTAGCAAGGTTAAAAATAACTAATTCCCTGATACAGGTTATCAGCTGCTGCTTTTGAAACAGCTGTAGTGAATGGCACTACAGAGGAGTGCTGCAGACATAGCAAAAATGGCACGGAATAGGCAGGAGCTACTTTGATTGGATCTGCTGCTGATAAAGATACTTTGCAGAAAAGCCCCCCTTTTAAGTATGTTGTAATACGGATGGTATCGGGCCAGGTTCTAGGGAACATCTATCAAAATTAACGTCTTATTTTAAGAATCAATAAACACAATGCTAAGAACAAGAGGCTGAAGAATGTTTACATAACATTTTATATTTCTGATTTCAGTTTTTACACAGAAACTCATTTGTTTCTGCTGCATAGACATCAGCAATGCTTCATTTTTTTATTGCTGGATAACAATGGGTAGCAAATAAGGCAGTGAAAAATTTAAAGCAAGAACTGCACTCCAAATAAATAATATACATAATACTTTATACTGAAAGCATTGTTTTAGATAGAGAGATAGAAAGATAGATATTTTTATCCAGAAGTCATTATATACCTGATATTACTACACTAAGAAAGAAAAGCAGGAATCATATTTTATGTATTTGGATTGATCTGTGTACTGAAGTTAAACACATATATACATATACATGCACAATAGTCAAAGCTAAAAAAATTATGGCTCTGATGGATCTTACATATATACTCACATGCTTTCTTGAATTTGGGCCTTAAGTTTCAAGATAATTTTGAATTTATAAAGTAACTACTAAATTTTTTAAAGTCAAGTATATCAGCAATTTGAAAGGGAAAAAACCTCTGAAATGTGTTTTTGTAAAAAAATGTAGAATTTAACATTTTAAACATCTCCCAGGGAATGCAACACAGCAAATGTATATGCTGCTATTTAAACAGACTTAAGAAAAAGTTTCTCAGTTAAGAATGTAAGAGGGACTTAATGGCTAAATTAGATAACAACAAATATTTACTGCATTTGCACTAACCTAAGAACAAAGCAAGTGAATGATCTTCATCAATTATCAATGGTTTCGATGAGTTTTCAATTTTTTTGGTTGCTTGTGTCCTGCTGATTAAATTATTTCTCCGTTTTTAGAAAACAATTATCTGGAAGTACTTGGGGTTCACTTCCACGCTAGCATATTCTATTTTAACTAAATCACGTTTATTGTGATAGGAAAAATATCCAGGCAGGTAGAATGAGTTCCATAAACTCCATAAAGTGATGCCATTGTTTTACACCCAAAAAAATCTCCAGAAGCTGCCAAGTGGGAAGAAGAGGTCCTAGAAGATGGTCATGGGACAAGACCTTTTCAGGGGCAAAATGGGCACTAATGTGAAGATCCCTGAATTGGCAAAACTCCTGGATAGGCAGCTACTGTGTCTGCAGCTTCTTTTTGGGATGCTACCCTTTGTGCTGCAGGACACCTACACTCAGCCTCTTCCTGCCCTGATGGGGACTGGAATCTTTGCCCTTGATCTGAACACAATCAGATGTTGGGCTCTGATCTGTTGCTATTTATGAACACATCATCATTGATTTGCAAGAAAGTAGATTTCCATGATGTTTCTAGCAATAATACTGTTGTACAAAAGAGACCAGACCTTAGAAGTCAAAATAATGAAGACACAGTTCCTAAAGAAAGTTTTCTAAAGAACCATTTTCTAAGCACCTTGAAGTTTTTGTTTTTCCAGAAACAAACTGTATGGTTCTTTGATAACAGAAATCCCAGTTCAAAACCATTATAAATTTAACAGGTATAACAATTTTCAAGCTGTGGTCAGTTCAAAATTCTCCCTGACCTCTGCAATGATAAAACCCCTTAAATCATATCTCTAAGTAAAGAAAGTGGAAAACCTAATTCCATGACACTTCAGAGGATTCAAATATTGAAAAAACCCTCTATGCATAGACTAGTTCTTTTTTTATTAAAACATCAAGTTTGTATCTGGTATCTTAAGTGCATCTTGCACTTAATTTAAGTAACGTTCAGAAAAAAGGTCTATTGTATTACATGAAAATTTGTCTCAATCATATGGTAATTAGACAGTGTTAAAGGTCTGATAGGAGAAAGATCCTCAGTGTAGATAATACAGAAGGAATTTCAGCATTATAATGGAGTTAAAAAGGTACAAGAAAGATGATACCACACTTTACAGGTTAAGTCAAACATGTGCAGATGTGCTTCAGGAATGAGGAACACTGTTTACCATGTCATTAGACATCTTCTGACCATAACAAAAAAAAATTAACATGAAAAAAGTTTATGGTTTTGATTTGTCTCCAAACATGCTTTGTGAGAGCTCATCCAAGGGAA